ATGCTCTGGTGGAATGTCAGCTGGCTAGGCAATCTAGCAGGGCATTACTAAATATGGTGTAAAAATGCTCTGGTGAAATGCTAAGCTGGCTAGGCAATCTAGCAGGGCATTCCGAAATATAGTTAAAAAATGCCCTGGTGGAATGCTCTGTTGGCAGACTAATTCTGAGTTCCAGGATTTATTGTTGCCAAAGTTGTATTGACATTTTCGACTTCTAGGCAATTCTGAGGCACTCGCAGACTTTCAGGTATTTTCGGTGCCAATAGAAATAATGATATTTTTGACTTCTAAGGACCTTTAAGAGACTATTTCATTGTCCTGCGACTTTTTGAAGGACACTCGCAGACTTTCAGGAATTTTGGTGCCAATGCTGATATTGACAATTAAGACTTCTAGGGACACTCAAGAGTCCATTTTGGTCGTCTGCGACTGATTCTTGGACACTCGCAGACTTTCAGGAATTGTTGGTGCCAATGGAAATAATCATATTTTTTGACTTCTAGGGACATTTAAGAGTCCATTTCATTGGCCTGCAGCGTATTGTTGGACATTCGCTGACTTTCAGGAAAGTTTGGTGCCAATAGAGATGATGGCAATTTTTACTTCTAGGGACCCGCCAGAGTCCATTTTTATGGTCTGCGACTGATTTTGGGACATTCGCAGACTTTCAGGAATCTCTGGTGCCAATGGAGATAATGACATTTTTGACTTCTAGCGACCCACCAGAGTTCATTTCGCTGGTCTGCGACTGATTTTGGGACACTTGCAGACTTTCAGGAATTTTGATGCCAATGGAGATAATGATATTTTTTACTTTTAGGGATCCGCCAGAGTACATTTCTTGGGTCTGCGACTGATTCCTTGAGACTCGCAGACTTTCAGGATGTTTAGTGATCATGACTTTTTATTTTTTAAGGACCCCTTAGTCATAAGCAGAGCATTTTTACCCTAAAATGTCATTATCTGCATTAGCACCAAAAAATCCTGAAAGTCTGCAAGTGCCCAATAATCAGTCGCAGACCAACGAAATAGACTCTGGATGGTCAAAAATGTCATAAATTGTAATTATCTCTATTGGCACCAACAATTCCTGAAAGTCTGTGACTGTCAAAGATTAAGTCGCAGACCAAAAAAAATGGACCCTGGATGGTCCCTAGAAGTAAAAAATGTCATTATCGGCCTTGACATAAAAAATCCTTAAAGTCTGTGAGTGCCTCAGAATCAGTCGCAGACCAAAAAATTGGATTCAGAAAGGTCCCAATAAGTCAGAAACATCATTTTCTGCATTGACATCAAAATTCCTGAAAGTCTGCGAGTGACTCAGAATCAGTCGCAGACCAACGAAATAGACTCAGGAGGGTCCTTTTGAAGTAAAAATGTCATTATCTCCATTGGCACCGAAAATTTCTGAAAGTCTGCGAGTGTTCCAGAAACATTCGCGGACCAACGAAATGGACTCTGGATGGTCCTCAAAATTCACAAATGTCATTATCTGCATTAACACCAAAAATTCCTGAAAGTCTGCGATCGTCCAGAATCAGTCGGAGACCAAAGAAATAGACACTTAAGGGTCCCGTAGAAGTAAAAAATGTCATTATCTGCATTGGCACTAAATATTTTAGAAAGTCTACGAATACCAAATAATCAGTTGTAGACCAACGAAATTTATACTTTATTTAAGAATGTCCTGCTTGTTTGCCTAGACAGCTCAGCATTCCGGCAGTACATTTTTACACTAATTTTCAGAATGCTTTGCTGGATTGATTAGCCAGCTGAGCATTTTAAACACTATATTTTGGAACGCTCTGCTAGATTGCTTAGCCAGCTGAGCTTGCCAGCAGAGCATTTTTACACTATATTTAGGAATGCTCTGCTGGATTACCTAGCCAGCTGAGCATTTTTAACACTATATTTAGGAATGCCCTTCTAGATTGCCTAGCCAGCTGAGCAATTCAGCAGAGCATTGTTACACTACATTTTGGAATGTCCCGCTAGATTGCTTAGCCAGCTGAGCATAACAGCTAAGCATTTTTACACTATATTTTGGAATGCCCTGCTAGATTGCCTAGCCAGCTGAGCATACCAGCAGATCATGTTTACACTATATTTTGGAATGCCCCGCTAGATTGCTTATCAAGGGAGCATAACAGCAGAGCATTTTTACACTATATTTTGGAATGTCCCGCTAGATTGCTTAGCCAGCTGAGCATAACAGCAGAGCATTTTTACACTATATTTTGGAATGCCCCACTAGATTGCTTAGCCAGCTAAGCATAACAGCAGAGCTTTTTACACTATATTTTGGAATGCCCCGCTAGATTGCTTAGCCAGCTGAGTATAACAGCAGAGTATTTTACACTATATTTAGGAATGCCCTGCTAGATTGCCTAGCCAGCTGAGCATACCAGCAGAGCATTTTTACACTATATTTGGGAATGCCCCGCTAGATTGCTTAGCCAGCTGAGCATAACAGCAGAGCATTTTTACACTATATTTTGGAATGTCCCGCTAGATTGCTTAGCCAGCTGAGCATTACAGCAGAGCTTTTTACACTATATTTTGGAATGCCCCGCTAGATTGCTTAGCCAGCTGAGTATAACAGCAGAGTATTTTTTACACTATATTTAGGAATGCCCTGCTAGATTGCCTAGCCAGCTGAGCATACCAGCAGAGCATTTTTACGCTATATTTTGGAACGCCCCGCTAGATTGCCTAGCCAGCTGAGCATATATACCAGCAGAGCATTTTTACACTATATTTAGTAATGGCTTGCTAGATTGCTTACCCAGCTGAGTATACCAGCAAAGCATTTCTACACTTTATTTTGGAATGCTCTGTTAGATTGCTTACCCAGCTGAGCATAACAGCAGATCATTGATTTCCCTATATAAATCGAAATGCCTTTTTGCTTAGCTCACTGTTAACTGCTAACTTCTCACATACTGGGTATTTACAGAAATTTCACTGGGTCACATGAGTTATTTATCATTCATGAGAAGTAAATTACAAAATTCAAAGGAATGATAGAAAAGTGTAACTTTTTTGACTTTCACCTGTTCACTCACTATATATACCCTTGGAAGGGCATAATGTGGCTTTAATGACGAATTCGTTCTACAATACAATAAAACTGTTAATTGAATCTTAAATAGTGTGATGACTTTCGATCATTTCTAATTCTAACTATTATAAAATCTGCTCATTTTAGTGTTAAATTGCGTTTAGAAACTCAAATTATGTCTCAAACTCACCCTTTTACTTACAGACGAGTATATTTAAAATATTTCTGTACAAAGAAATTATAAGTATATTTAAAATATTTCTGTACAAAGAAATTATAAGTATATTTAAAATATTTCTGTACAAAGAAATTATAAGTATATTTTAAATATTTCTGTACAAAGAAATTATAAGTATATTTTAAATATTTCTGTACAAAGAAATTATAAGTATATTTAAAATATTTCTGTACAGAGAAATTATAAGTATATTTAAAATATATCTGCACATAGAAATTATAAGATTATTTAAAATATTTCTGTACATAGAATTTATGAGTATATTTAAAATATGTCTGTACATAGAAATTGTAAGAATATTTAAAATACTTCTGTACATATAAATAAAAGTATATTTAAAATATTTCTGTACATAGAAATTGTAAGTATATTTAAAATATTTCTGTACATAGAAATTATAAGTATATTTAAAATATGTCTGTACATGGAAATTGTAAGTATATTTAAAATATTTCTGTACATAGAAATTATAAGTATATTTAAAATATGTCTGTACATAGAAATTATAAGTATATTTAAAATATGTCTGTACATGTTGGAAATTGTAAGTATATTTAAAATATTTCTGTACATAGAAATTGTAAGTATATTTAAAATGTGTCTGTACATAGAAATTATAAGTATATTTAAAATATGTCTGTACATAGAAATTATAAGTATATTTAAAATATGTCTGTACATGTTGGAAATTGTAAGTATATTTAAAATATTTCTGTACATAGAAATTATAAGTATATTTAAAATATGTCTGTACATAGAAATTATAAGTATATTTAAAATATGTCTGTACATGTAAGAAATTGTAAGTACATTTAAAATATTTCTGTACATAAAAATTATAAGTATATTTAAAATATTTCTGTACATAGAAATTGTAAGTATATTAAATGTTTCATGTTCAAGAGTGTCAGATACTTTAACAAATAAAAAGTGTACAATTATGTTATTTATGGATCTAATTTGTATCTATGTAATAAAGAATTGAAAGAATTATTCAAAACTGTATTTCTTACTTAATTAACACCCATACATGATATAAGGAAGCGAAATATAACATTCCCTAGCAACCCTAGTAAAAAAATCAACTGTAAATGATATTTAAGATGGGTTAACGATGACATCGCGCACGCGTTATCCGTATTCTATAGTTACAATATTTATATAATTCTTCTAAGGCAGGTACTTTGATAAAAATAATAGAAATACCAGGAATATCACCCGATGACATTTATAGAAAAAACTTGAATATCCTCTATATATTCAACACCTATAAACAATGTGATTCTATATATCTCACTGATATACCTTGACATATCATCGTGTGATATACTTACATTTATATTAGAACATTCATATATCATCGGACAGTAAAGAAAACAACATTCAGCTGAATATTATATTCGTTACCAACAGCCCAATATAAAATTACACACTTTTGAGAGCTCGTTATATAAAATATACAGAAGAGATGCTTAAAAAGAGGTTTTAGATACTTAACTTGGGTGTCAAATATTCGAAAATAATAAAATTCAAATAGAAATAAATATTTCTATACCGATCGAAATAATATAAATGTCCCATTTCATAATCTTAGTTAAAATCAAAGCTTACTTCATGCCTTGACATCCTACAATTGTATTTACATATACACATTCGAGCTGATTATAAATATTTTACAATAGTCAACGAAGGATACATTACCTCGTTTTCCCAGTCCCATTTAACACCAAGGAGTACTGCATATTGTCCTTCACAAAAACCATACATGCTTCGCCTTCCCCCACTTAATGAGGTCTCCCTTGCAGATGGTTTGGCTATCAGAACTTCATACTGACTTCCTTGTATACTTTCCCACGGTGAATAGTGAACAGAAGGAGTTGGGTCAAATAATACAGCCATGCCAGGCTCTGCAACTACTGCTATAAGGCTTTCATTTGTTGCAGATGACACGGCACACTGGAAATGATGTTCAGTATCAACCCATTGCTCAATGTGCGGCACAATCACCATTGCCGAAGACCCTGATAAATCATTTGCATTGCTACTGTTATACAGATTCAAATTCATAACCTGAATTAAAAGGACAGGTTCTGATGAATGAATTGTTGTATGCATTTTCCAGTCAATTCTAAAGTCTTTTGCATCTCCTGCTTTCGGTATAATGACAGGCGAATATCCAAGAATATATATAACTGTGTTATCTTTTTGTGTTACAATCTTTACTATATCTCCAGCTTCATCTAGAATATTGGGCACAACAACAAACTCGGTACCCCATTTTCTGATAGGTGGAATTTGTTCTACTACATGAGAGGTTGTACCATCTTTCTTTGGTATATCCCGAGCGCCAACTACAACAGCTATATTTTTATCAGCGGAGATATATGTTCCACTTAGATCGTTCTCACTTTCAAAGTGTAGAACATCTAGTTCATTTAGTTCAAAAGGAATGGCGGTTCCCGGTGCCGCGGCATTTTCTACTGGACTTCCGTTGATACAAACTGCACGAGGTTGAACGCTATTCGAAAACGTGACCTCGACCTTTGTATAATTATCCGTTGCTAATATAGCAAATTGGCACACACCACCCGTTGCGCAATACGTTATGACATAATATGTTGCTCCTAGGTGATCATATGGAATAGCTATGTAACCATCACTCCAGGAACCACTGGAATCTGTTTGAATGACATGTAATGTGAAGTCATCTACTGATTCAACTTTAATTCCTTTCTTTGCCATCTCAGTTCCATTTGGAACAAGTAACCCGCAGTCTGGTGCATCGAATTGAGATGCAGTAAAGTCTGAAGAAATACCCCAATTTGAGGCACTGGGGGTGCACGCGCCGACATCGTGTTTGATACCTGGGGCTGTTCCTGTCAACTTTTGAAGGAAAACTCCAACTGGTGAAGTTGTCACGTTTCTTCCGAGAAAGGTTACATAATACTTCGTTGAATCTTTTAATTAAAATAAACATTGTTTCATTATATTACAAATATCTTAATGATTACTCTTTATAAAACATATATCTACAGCTTTGAATATGCTTTTTTACAACTGATTTTAGCACGACTTTAATTATAGTTTGAAGAAAAATCATTGCTCGTATTATATATTCAGAGAAACAAAAAAAAACTATTAAGATACTAGTATTTACAATATAGTTGATTACGAGATAAGTCTTTCGTTAATTAAATTGAATGTTTAAAACCTTGTTTCGTTATAATTTTGACAGTCTACAAAGTGATAATATACATTTGCAGATTTATTTTCAATCAAGACAAATAGCAAAGTTAAAGTTGTGTTTCTAGAAGTATAAGAAAACTCAATTTACCTGAAGGAAGTATGGCACAAATAAGGAGAGAAATGAACAACAAACTATCTTCAGTGACTCGAACCCGTACGAAATTCATATCCAAATATCCTTTTAACACGTTACACGTTTATGTTTTGTATACACCATTGCGAGTAAATACACTCCTTATATGACTGCCCGTTTAGCTAATTAAATGTCACACCCAGCTTATGATTTAATTACTTATTAATACCAATTATCACATTCAATATTTGAATTTTAACTGCTTTTATTCTATAGTTGATAATACTGTGTGTTAATAATAGTTAAATGTAATGCGCGCATGTACGTGTCCAAACACTTTAGAGTTAATCCAATATCCTTTTAATTTTTCCAACGTTTGAAATTAGTACTATTAATTATACAAAAGCATTAATTCCTTCTCTCTCTCTAGATTCAATTAAATCAGCAAATAACCTATTTCATATGTGTACTTGCATTTACTCAATGTAACTTGTGTGCACACTGAATAATAAGCTTAGTCTTTTTATATACACTACAATTCTTATCTAAGTATTTATTTAAATTAACACAATATCTATTTGAATGTAAATCCGTCACTTTCCAGCATTAGTTCTAAAATATAGGAATATTCCAATAAGTTAAAAATTCAATGTTATTTTGACATGGCATCGGACACATTTACAAAAGACACGCGGACATTTTAATTGAAACAGAACTGTTATTAAATGCCATAGATTATATTTCTATTGTACCATCTATAAATCACCATCGATTTTCACTCCGCGTTTCTATTTAAACCGATTTCTGTCCCAGTCACAACACGTACTCATCGGAAATTGGTACAACCCTATACAATTTAATTTCATTTCACTCCGTAGATAACAATGTCATTTAAGGCAAACAAAGAGAAATGCCTCATAGAATTAATATAGGAAAAATGTTCAACTATTTGTTCAATAATGTTTTTTTCACGCTTAAAGAGCTCCAGTTTATTCCCTTTCTAAAACCTTTTAACAATTGAAGGGAAATGGATGTTACCTGATACATTGTAAAATTGGAAACATTAAAACAAATATGTAGTTACTGTAGCTGTCAATGCATTTTATTTACATTAGTTTACAGTGTTCTCTCGTATCATGTCCTGTGCAATCATATTCTTTGTTACATTCTCTACATTCATGTTATTTCTTGATCTTTTAGTGTGGAGACTTTGCTCAGAGTTAATTCGTATACCAATATATGTACAGTGCGTTCACTAGAGGGCATGTATTAGTTATCCCATACTTACGGTCTAGAGCATGTTCGTCAATTGGTTATTTTTTTCTGGGGTTTACATTTTGCGACGAACAATAGAGAAGTCATATTTAGATGCTCGTACATTGGTTACCTTTTTCTGAGGTTGAATATTTTGACGACATGGAACGTGTTTGTATTGATGCAAAGAAAAACGTCAAAACACTCGGCAGTCTGATTTATACTCGGGGGCTACATTCCCCTCGTACAAATCAGATAGCATCATGTTTCGATTCTCTTTCTATAACTTGTCCTGATCCTTATCCTGACTATGTCATATTCTTAACAACCAAATACACTAAGGTAAAATCATTGTTGCGGCAAACCGTTGAATATACTTTACCATATTCAAAATGTAGATTAATGAGTGAATTTTAATACAACATCACATAATAATGATTTTAGTATAATATTTTGATATTATCAGATACAGATACATAGTCTCTAGAGAATGGCAATGTGCTCTGTTTTTAATTAAATATGTTTAACTGTGTTTTCGTATCATTGATATATTGTATATATTGTATCACATTGGTTATATTCTCATATAATAAAGAATACAATAAAATCCAAATACTAGTAGTATATATATATCTTTTAATGTTTTATGCTTAATAAAATTCGTATTCGTATTCGTATTCGTATATAAATGTATATTTCAAATACACAGCCGCATTGTTAATTGTTAAGGATACAACATACTGTGGGTTTTTTTTAATTTGCATTATAATCAGACATTTTGACAAAACTTTGTAATTTTTAGGTGCAAAGGAACAACATTTGTGACGAGTGACTTGAATATTTTTAATATTAAATATATGTATATCCTTATTAAGATATATCACTCCATCTTTGACTGGAAGGAGATAATGTAATTTAAGCTTAATTATGAGTTATTCAGTTTTTAATGATAAAATTATCATTTTATTCTCAAAACAGAGCTGAATTGTTCTTTTATTGAGTTAAGCGATAAATAGAAAATGCTATAGTAATCTACCGCGTGGAATCGGACACAGTCAGGGGCAAGCCATTGTTTCCTTGAGCAAGAAACTTTACATTTATTGCTTAGTACTGGTTCGTTCCAGGAACGGATTTAAGAGAATTTCAATAAGCTGATAACTTCCAACACGATCGATTAAAAAAAACTCAAATAAAATTGTATAAACTAAACTATAATAGAAAAGGCGATGCAAGCGGTTAATGCTAAAAGTCATACTAGCTTGTTTATTGCAAAAATGTAACTGCGTTCAATATTTTCCGAAAATTTAAGGAGACATTCAAAATTTTATTCTTATGTCAGCAATGTTGGCAGCTTTGTGAAGCATATATCCAAGATATAAATATTATGCACTATTTATTCACTATTGTCATGTTACAAACCTGTTAGTTTTTCCACAACCTGTAACTTTTTCACCCATGATTTATTTTGTAACAGAATGGTCAGCAAGGGACTATGTGTCCCTGATTCATGGCATCTTTGCTATGAAACTTACGGCCAATAAATAAAATTATGAAAGCTCAAAGTCATTTTTTTTTAAACATCATCCGATTGTATGAGGTCATTGAAATTTGTTTTACTGAATTCTATTTGACGAGTACACAACGATTTAAAGAGGCGGATATATAAATATTAAATAAGGAAAAAATCAAAAACAAGAATATGTCAAATAAATATTCTTAGCAAAAATGTAACAAAGCAATCAATAAGGACTAGCCAAATGACAAAGCAAAAAAAGTCAGCAAAATAAGGTATATCAAAAAGTAATATTTATAAGATTGGTATAAAAAATATCATTTCAAAACCTTACAAATTCTCGTTCTTGTTGTAACGTGCGCTTCCCACTGCACTTTGATAAGAAACTGGTGTTATGGGTAGTGGTTAGACTGACTTTGGTATGTGATGGTATTTGATGGCGCTTAATTTTCCGTTTCGAGGTGTATGTTTGCTTAATCATATTTGATCTTTATCATTCCAATATGAAAAAAAACAAACAATTTACACATGCTATAAAGTTTTCCGATGCTACGAATATTGTAATCACATTCAGAATACCTTTGGTTTAAATCAATTGTGTTATATGTAGATGTAAAGAATAATTATGTAAAGGAACACTCGACTTTATTATAAAAAAAACGTGTTGAGCCGAGTTGAGTTGTGAAATATGAATCAGAACTGTTACTGTTTTCAAGAAACAAATTGAGGGTACGTGTATAATATTAGTGATAAAGATTGTTGACAGGTTATACGGCCCTATATAAACGGCTGTTTGTAAATATAACCCGAGCCGCTAGGCAAGGGTTATATTACAAACAGCCGTTTATATACGGCCATATAACCTATCAACAATCTTTATAACGAATTTATAATATAGCAAACATAATTTTTTAGAGAAAAAAGTAAGATTTCTTCATGAATCGACAACAGCCGGGTATATAAAACTATATAAACGTCACGATTATCCAATGAAAAGCGCCGTTACAAAAGTGCAGTATTATAATCGTGATATGAACGAGATATAAGCTTGCCAGGTTTGACATAAAATAAAGACTAAAGTGACAAAACAATACCAGTTCTGCTTTTGGCATTTTCTTTGCTTTTTGATACAGTAACATTATCACAGATTTGTCAGTTTTGTCAGTATCTTCCTAGACATTTTTTTCTAAACATTGCATAATTTTATGATAGAGGCGTTTGCTAAGGCTTACGTGTTGAAATGTTTGAAAATATTGTTAAATTCGTGTAATCGTGTGCTGTGAAAAAAAATGATATTGGCAAATAAAACTATTTAATTGACTGTAAATAGGTCCATAATAGAAAGACTGTAATACCCTTAATAATTATGTTGATAGTGAGAAAACAATTTTGTTGGTAAGTGTAAGACACATAATCCGACAAGACATATGTATATATATATAGCAGATTATAATTTGTTCTGGAAACTGATATTATTCATCATATAAATGCTCATACTGAATCTACTTAGAACTTTATAAACATTTTATCTTTCAAGAAACACTTTATAAGAATAGAATATCCAAAATGATATTTTTCTACAGGGTTTAATAAAAGGTATTTGAAATATTTATGACACATGTGCCCATTGCAATCGAGATATCTCAGCAATTATCAAATTGAACAATAACCTCGGACTTAATACGAATTGTAAGTAGTTCTTCCACGATGTTTAAGATGTAAAACAAAAAACAGAGGGTGTAATCTTTGATAATGTATAACGATTGTGTATATTTGACATCAAAAGTATATCCTGGTAAAATTATGATTGACCATATGTCTGACAATCAAAATCAATTTAAAAATGCACACTGATTAAAATTATAACCAAATCTGAATAAATGTCAACGGTTTCTACAACCATACACACGGGGGAGGAAGTGTTACACGAAGGATGGAGTTCTTATGATACCTTGTTCATGAGTTCTTATGATAACTGTCACGGAGTTCGTCGGAAAACATCTGTATATACTACAAAAACACTCGTCAAAAAGGTATATTTTCATCGTTCAAAAATGAGTTCTAGGTGCTAAATTAAACTTAAATGATTAAGCTTGTCTTACATCTTGTATTATGTGTCAAAGCCTAATTCACAGACCATTTTTCATCGCCTCTTGCTTCAAATCTTGAAGTTTTCAGTAAAATTTCCAAATTATTTGCCAATTCGCAAGTTTTGACCGGTTTATTTCAAGTCTTCATCCATGCCATACATAAATACCTTTTTATAATGCAAAATTGCAAACATAAAGCACCGGCTTACAGATTTATACCCGATTTTTCAAATGTCCCGGAGTTCTTGTGATAACTCTGAAGATGTCACAGAGTTCTTATGACAATTTTTGTTATTGCCAGTGTGTTTCTTGCGCTAAATCACGGCATGTTTTGGCGTTTATTATCATTCAATAAGATTGTAAATCATTATAAAATGCAGTTCGATTATCCTTTGCACAAAAATGTGGATAAAACGTTGTTCTAAAGTGTCTTCGAAGGACAAATAGGTGATGGGCTATCATCTACCGTAAAAATTGAACCAGCGGCCACTGATATTCAGCAGTATAATGACTTAAACCACAAAACAAAAATGTCTCAAAACGTATACTAATAACGTTGTTCTAAGTTTCACATGTTTTAAGTAACCACCTTTCTTAAGCAGACAATATATAGGCATGATTCCCTTACCTAAGGGCTAAGTAATTTGTATCATTTTATACCATAATAAATAAGTATATAACCATGATAATTTCCACACATATGTCTTAAAAAAGTAAAATAATGTCTCTTTGTCTAATGTGCAAATCCAAAATGTAATACAACGCATATATGACCAATATTTACAACAATGGTTTTCTGATCTTAGAACTCAACCTAAACTTGAAACGTATTGTTTACTGAAAACAGATTTTGAACCAGAAAAATATATTTCTTGTGTTAAGAATGAAAATCATAGAATTAGTTTGACCAGGTTTAGATGCTCTGCACATAACTTACTTATAGAAGAAGGAAGACATAGAAATATAGAAAGAAACCTTAGAATTTGTACCAAATGTAATATGAATGTCATTGAAAATGAATATCACTTCCTCTTAGTTTGTCCGTTTTATAGAGAATTACGTATTAAATGTTTGCCAAATTATTATTGTCATTGGCCTAATTTATTCAAGTTTAAAAATCTTCTTAACAGTTCTCAAAGCAGTACTATTATCAAGCTAGCTAAATATATATACCAATCATTTTCTTTAAGAGGATGATTATAAATAATTTATGTATTGTGTAACCTTTGTTGTAATGTCATAAATAATTTATATGTTTTTATGTTCAAAGTATATAATTGTTATTATCATGCTTCTCTCATGTTCAAAATATATATTGTTTTGTATTGTGCCGCCAGAATACTATATGTATTGGCGATAAACATT